AATTGTCCATTCTATACAATTTTCTTCAGTTTCAGTTGCTATGAGTAAATCATCTACGTATTGTAGAAGAACGCCCTCTCCCTGTGGCCATTACCATTGATCCAATTCCTTAGATAATTGATTTCCAAATATTGTGGGACTGTTTTTAAAAACCTTGAGGTAAGACCATCTGATTCACATTATATTAATAATCCTAATTCTAAAAAATTCTCTATTATGGGTTCAATTCCGTTCCTGTCTTCTAGCCTTAATGGGTATTGTTTTCTGTGTACCAGTTTTGCTCCTGGTCATAGTTCTGTTTGAATAGGAGTTGCCCATTTTGGCTTTACTAGTGTTTTAGTAGTCCAAACTCCTGTGTATACGTAATCTAAAATCTGATTGACATTTAAATGATCCTGGCTTGGCTGCACATAGTTCATTGCTAAAGTCAGAGCTGCTATTATTTGTTCTTTCTTTACCTTAAGTCTAATTTTACTTTGTTTAAATTCTATTACAGCTCCCAGAATTTCTAGTAGGTCTCTGCCCAATAGGGGTTTGGGTAAATTTGGAAAATACAAAAACTGATGGACTCCCATTTGTTTTCCAATTTTATATTTTAGGGGTTTCAAAAAGAAAGCTTTTTCTGATTGGCCTGTAGCTCCCATTAAAAAATCTAATTCTTCTTTTTCTTCCCCTAGCTTAATTTTTACCAGTGGGTCCCCTCAGGGCAGGCCTACCGGCCCCCCCTCACTCAGTACCCTGTAAGCAACAACAGGCCCTCCTGTGCCAGTATCTGTACCTGTTAATTCAGGGCATACAACATACACACTGATTCTGACCCAACCTTGTTTGTCGGGGAGGCAAACTTTACATCTGTTACACAAGGCTTGCACCAACAATTACAAAATAAACAGTTCTAGGTCTTATTCAATGTTGTGTGCTTATAGTTAACCCGTATAGCAATTCTTGGCACGATAAGACCTTTAACCATGTATACCTGGATGCTTCAAGGTAAGTAAGGTATACCAGGTATAAAATAATTTTTCCAAAAATAACAAGACAACACAAAATGACAATAAACACACACAAAACTATTAACACAATAACAGTGCCCCAAACCCCAGTTCATAGGGTGGTTTGTCAATTGTCAACTAACACACACAAAGGTAATACTAAATAAACTCAGCACTACCTATAAGACAAGACAATATGACACGTTCCAGGCCCAGAATTCTTATCTAAACCAGAAACCAGAAGGCCTTATTTAAACCAGAAACCAAAAGGCCTTGCTTAAACCAGAAACCAGAAGGCCTTACTTAAACCAAAAACCAGAAGGCCTTACTTTAAACCAGAAACCAGAAGGCCTTATTAAAACCAAAAACCAGAAGGCCTTACTAAAACCAGAAACCAGAAGGAGACCGATTCCTCCATTCTCCCAAACAGATATTCAGCCAAGTGTTTAGCTAAATATGACTACAGACCAAAGAAGCGTCCTTCTTATGGTGTGTTCTACATGATAACAGCAGCGTCCTACCCATGTGATAGAACACCTTATTACAGACACCAGTGCATGCAAGTTAAAACCAGAATAAATACCTTTTGATTATGGGAACTTTATCCACTCCTGCGAGAAGGCAACGAAGACAGGAGCCCCCCTTTATAGGTAAAAGCTTACCTTTAGCACGCCTGGGAAGGGGTCCTGACCTTCGATGGATTCCACAGCCGAGGGATAATTGTCCCATCTGGGGTGCCAAATTGATGCCCAAAAAAAGGTAGCTTTAAAAAAAAACTGCTTAAAGGCAGAATTTTGAGCCTATAAACAGCAGGTATTTATTGAATGATTAACGACGCCGGGGTAGCTTCCAGCTCAGGCTGGACAAAAAAGCTCCGAAGTGGTTCAGTAAAAACAAGCAATTTATACAGTTTCTAATCATGATTACAACATAGTCACATGTATATTCATATTATTGCATCATTAGATTACAATATTCATAGCAGGTGGAGTCGGGGTGGAGATTGAGGCGTGGTCTCTATTTTGAGGAATATTATGGTGGGAGTTCCTGCCTGCCTTCATCCTGGGGTCTGCATTTTACTCATCTTCCTCGGGTGACATGTGTGACCTTCTGTTCTTTCCATTGTTCTCGTGTTCTAATCGTTCAAGCTTCAAGAAACCCTTGGCTGTAGGCCTACTTTACCTATTCAAATGTCTACCTTGGCTCCTCTGGATGAGATTTATGTGTGTTGAGTTCTTTGTCTAGTGTTTGTTGTGGTTCCTTTAAGGTCTAGTGCTCTTAGTACAGCACATAGCCTTCCTCCAACAGTACAGCTTATACAGGGGGTAAGGGGGGCTCTTATGGGTTTACAGTAAAAGTGTTTTCGATTAACCCTTCCTCTTTCATCACTGCTGTCTCTGCAATGTCACTCCTCTCCTTGTCAAGTCACAGATGTCCCCACTGATGTCACTGATGTCCTTGGGAGATCACGGCTCCCCCTTTGTTTTCACCAGTCTTCTGTGATGTCACTGGTCCACAATGATGTCACTGCTGTCCCTGTAATGTCACCACTGTCCCCTGTGATGTCACCAATGTCCCCCATGATATCACTGGTGTCTCTGTGTTGTTATCCAGGTCCCCTGTGATGTCATTGATGTCCCTGTGACATCACGGCTTTCCCTCTGTTGTCACCAGTCCCCAGTGATATTTCTGGCCCCAAGGACGCCATTGCTGTCTCTGTAATGTCACCCCTGTCCCCAACAATAGCACCATGTCCCCGTGATGTCACCAATGTTCCTATGATGTCACCGATGTCCCTGTGATGTCCCTGATGTCCCTCTGATATCACGGCTTTCCCTTTGATGGCAACAATCGCCTATGATTTCACAGGTTCCTCCTTGATGTCACCACTGTCCCCTGTGATGTCAACAATGTCCACAAGGATATCACTGGTGTCTCTGTGTAGTCACCGATGTCCTTGTGACATCATGGCTTTCCTATTGCTGTAAGCAGTCCTTTGTGATGTCACTGGTCTCCAGTGATGTCACTGCTGTCCTGGTGATATCACCACTGTCCCCAGCAGTGCCACCTTGTCCCTGTGATGTGACCAACGTCCCTATGATGCCACCAAACCCCTTTGATGGCACTGATGACCCTGTGACATCACTACTTTCCCTCTGTTTTCACTGTGATGTCACTGGTCCCCAATGATGTTCCTGCTGTCTCTGTGATGTCACCACTTTCCCATGCAAACCATTGTGCATTCTCATTGTGATGGTTACCATGGTAAAAATTGTACATTCTCATTCTGACATCACTTACTGTCGTAACCATTGTGAATTCCCATTACTACAACAGTTTCCATGGCGACCATTGTGAATTCTCATTGTGACCTCGGTTACCATGGCAACCGTTATGCAGTCTCACTGTTTTGCTGGTTACCATGGCAACCATTGTGCATTCTCATTGTTAACTCGGTTACCATGGCAAAGATTGTGCATTTGCATTGCTAGAGCCGGTTAATAAGGCAACCATTATGCATTTCCTGTTACGTCGCTTACCATGGCAACCATCTGTAACAAACAGATAATATAGAAATGCCAAAAATTGTTTCTGCCTGTCAAAAACTTCCTATCAAACATTCTCTGTCAGCTCTCTGAAGGAAGTTCTCACCAGGACTTCCCATGGCACCTTTCCTGCCAAAAGATCCTGCCATTGTTTATGGTTACCATATCTCCTCCAACATCTGAACTGGCTACGTGCCAAGAAACCACGTGCAACCCCTTTTGAACACTATAAAAGTTGAGGACAAATTTTGGAAAATCAGGGAGAAGAAAGGCAGAAGAACTGGTGATTGTAGCCGAGAATCTCTGCCCACCTCCCCTCACCTTTTCTCCGCCACTGCGTGCTGCCTGCCTGTCACCGGAGACTGGAACTGTGCCGGCCTGGAGAGAGCTGAGACCACTGTGCCACATGTGGGAGTTCTACCTTATCCTTCTACCCTGACCATATTTCTGAGGGCCCAAAGCTTCGGCTGAGCTGAGACCCTACAGGGTCTGGGACAGGGGTGTGAGCGGTGAAACCACACATGGTGCATTGCAGAGAATTAAAGCTGTCAGACCCCCTGCAGCTACAGAGATAACATCCAAAAGCTGCAGGGACAGAGAAAAAAAAGGCAGAAACTGCTTCTCTTCTGCCACACTCACCGGCTCAGCTGGGAAAGGTACTTTTCAGTGGTATTTTTTCTCTGCTTCTAGAAATAATCTTAGAAGTTTCCAACCTTTTCTTATTTTTTCCTCATTCTCTTTGCACCTCTTAGCAATTAATAAAATCAGGTTTTAGTATCAACAGATAACTTGTGTGAGTTTTTATTTTGCTCAAGGGAATATTTGAATCTCTAGTTCTTTCTGCAATATTTAAGCAGATTGTAGCAGGGGACCAAGGAAAGATGAGAGGAACGGGAGAAGGGTGGAAAAGGGGAAATGGTCTGGACGGTCCAGTGGGTCCAATGGTCCCATGGGGGTCTTTGGGCACAAAGAGGTAGGAAAGGGGGGTGCCCCTCTGAGCTCCCAACTGACTGTGGGGTGCTGGGGCTGCTGGATCCAATCTCAGCCTTAGGTTAAGCCAACAGGTTCAGATTAGAGGAACTACAGAGGTGGGACTGAACCACTTTTGTCCCCCAGGTTTTAATCATGGCAAATCACATCTATTGATAGAAATGAATTCTTTAGGGTTACAAATGATCAGACAAAAGATCTTCATTCAGAATTATTTACTGCACAATAGAAACACTAAAACTACCACTAGTACAGCATAAGATAGGACAATGCTATACACTAAAGCAATTGTTGAAGCAATTCTACTCAAGCTGGCACCAAAGCAAGAATTATGAATTAGAGATGGATGGAACTCCCCTAGACCAACACTTGTGGGGAGATCTCTGCTCTCAATCTCCAGCAGTGACCTTGGGGGGTCCCAGCCAAGGCAGGAATCTCCACACACCCCCAAGAAGGGTTCTATTGGCAGAACCTGCCCCTGGCAAAGGGCACTGGCCCTTTCTGGCGGAAAGGGATGGACTGACAGTCACTGGACTCCAGGGGTTGCCTCACCATCAGGGGGGGTCATTCAGGGTGGGAGCAGCGGTCAAAGCTCTTCCCGCAGTCGGGGCACTCGTAGGCGTTTCCCTTACTGGTGGGTCCGTTGGTGTTTGGTCAAGGTAGAGCTGTGGGTGAAGCTCTTCCCACACTCCCAACACTTGTAGGGCCTCTCCCTGGTGTGGGTGCGCCGGTGGGTGATGAGGTTGCCGTTCCGGTTGAAGCCCTTCCCGCAGTCGGTGCAGCGGAAGGGCCTCTCATCTGTGTGTGTCCGCTCATGCACGAGGAGAGTTGAGCTGGTCTGAAACCTCTTCCCACATTCCAAGCACTTGTAGGGTCGTTCACCAGTGTGGATGAGCTGGTGGGTGCAGAGGTTGGAGCTGGTCCTGAAGCTCTTCCCACATTCCCCACACGTGTGGGGCCGTTCCCCAGTGTGGATGTGCTGGTGTTGGAGAAGGTTGGAGCTGTCCCTGAAGCTCTTCCCACATTCCAAGCACTTGTAGGGCCTTTCTCCAGTGTGGATTCGACGCTGGTGTTTGATCATGCTGGAGCTGTGCCTAAAGCTCTTCCCACATTCCCCACACTCGTATGGCCGTTCCCCAGTGTGGATGAGCTGGTGCCTGAGGAGGGTGGAGCTCTGCCTGAAGCTCTTCCCACATTCCCCACACGTGTAGGGCCGTTCCCCAGTGTGGATGTGCAGGTGGGTGAGGAGCTTGGAGCTCTTCCTGAAGTTCTTCCACATTCCAAGCACCTGAATGCTGGGAGGCTGCTCAGGGACCAACAGCTCAGAGCTCCGGCTCAAGCTCCGGCCGCCTTCCCGGCACACGACGGGTCTTTCCTCCTCAGAGCTCCCTGGGTTGGCTTTGCAGCCCCTCCTCCGGGGGCATCTCCAGGCCTTTTCCTCCCCGCTGCCTTCCTGCACCGGGGAGCCCTTCAAAACGGCCTCTCCCACCAGGCTCTGCCGGGGGGATTTGTCCTCCGTGCTCTCCGTCCTCAGCTCGGGGCCTGGGGCAGGAAGGAAGAAGGACAGGCAGGGGATTTGCCTCCAGTCCAGAGGGAAGGTCAAGCACATCCCCCCCAGATCTGGTCCCCATGTGCACCAAAAGACAGGGCCAAAGGGGCACTGACTTCCTCCTCACCTGCCTGGGGGCTCGCGGCATCTTCCTCGCAGCCTCCTCCTCCATCTGCCCAAGTTTTGGGAAGGACAAATCCTGCTGAGTGCATTGGCTTGGGGGTTCCTCCTGCCCAAGTCCATCTCTAGAACTCACCGGGCATCCTGGGACCATAAAAACCTCCAAAACACCAAGACTCAGCCCAAATAACCCCAGCCAGGAGCTTCTTCTCTCTGGTCTCTCCACTTTGGGATTCTGGAAGTCCCCCCTGTCCGGGCTGCTGGGAGTCCTGTGTGTATTTGGGGTCTCCCCTCTACAGGGTTCCTGCCCTCTCCAGGCTGCTGGAGCTCCCAGGAACCCAAGGCTCCCCCATCTCTCAACTTCAGGGTTCTGGGGGACCTCTAAAACACCAAGATTCAGCCCAGAAAAAACCCAAACCACCAAGATTCAGGCAAAACACCTCAGAAATAGCAAGAAGACACGCGCCCCCAAAATTGCAAAAAGTTGAGATTCAGCTGAAATATACTCCAAATTATGAAGATGAGCCAAAAAATTTCTCTTCCAGGAGTTCCCCCTCTCTGGTCTCTCCCGTCTGGGGTTCAGAGTTTCTCCACTGTCTGGGATGTTGGGGGTCCCACTTAGCGATGTTGGAAGTGCTGGTGGTCCCACGGGTCCCTTCTCATCTGACTCTCACCTTTGGGGTGCCGCCTTCCCAGACCTTCCCTCTTGAAAAGAGAGCAAGGCCTAAAGAATTACCTGAAATATCTTGCTCAGCTGAGAGAAGCCTCCTCACACCTGTTCTGCCTAAATTGCTAAAGAAAAATTTGTTCTGTTCCGTTCCTTGGACCTAATCTAAAGAAGGTTGGAAACAGAAATTATGGCAAAGTCAGCCAAGGGAGACATTTGAATAGGAGAAATAGGCCTAAAGCCAAGGCTCTCTCCAAGCTTCAGTGACTGGGGCAAAGACAATGGAAAGTTAGAGGGGTCACACCGAGGAAGACTGCAGAGACCCCAGCCCCGATGATGAAGAAAGGGGGATGAACCCCCAGAACTGAGGGCCAAGAAAAGCTCCACTCCAAGCTCTGCCTGAGCTCTGCCTGTACTCCAGTTATTATCAACATGAAGGATTAGATGTTGCAATCAAATGAATATGTTTGTAAGATGTTGTAATCATAGAAGTCAGACTGTATAAACTACCCAGTTTTGTACCAATACCTTCGAGCTTTGTGGTGTGAACCCCGCCTGCTCCCGACCTCGACAAATAAACACCTTTGCTGCTCAAAAGACCAAAAGCTTCTGGGCACTTTCTTTACCGGATTTCTCAGATTCATCTGGACAGCAGATTGTGCCCCAGGGATGGGATTGCAGAGGGGCGCTCAGGTCCCCAGGATGAAGCAGCAACCAGCAATAGACACAAAAGGCCCCCCCAAGGATTTCAGGGAAGTGTCCTGCAGGGAGGGGACAGTGTCACCCCACGAGGGCAGGGCTGGCAAGTGGGAGGCTGCTCCAGGTGTCTGCAGGAGGCCTCCTGCTCTGCTCGGCCCCATCAGTGGCTGGGACCAACACCCCGTCCTCGTGGCCAGCGGCTCTTTCCTGCCCAGCCAAGAGGTTCCCGGCCCCCCAGAGCTCCCCTGGGGCTGTCCCTGCCCCTCCCTGCAGGCTCCGTGGCCGGGCACACTTTGTGTTCCTGGGGGCCACCAGCTCAGCAGCTGCAGCCGCTCCAATCAGCGCCCGCAGCTCTGCAGCAAAGCCCCAGCTCACCTGGCACACAGGGCATGGACACAGCACCTTCTCGCTGCTGGGCACTCCCAGCTCAGCCTCTTCCCCAGCACGGGGCTCTCCTGCCTCAGCACCACCTCTGCCTTCCACTTCTTCTCAGGGCCACCTCAGGGACACCTCTGGGCTCACCTCTGGGCCATTGCTCAGGGCCACCTCAGGGCCTGCTCTCCAGGACAGGAACCTGCAGGGAGGGTAGATGAGGTGCAAGCCCAGGGGGGCCTGCTTGCACTGGCCTGGGGGCTTCTTTCTCCTGCCACAACCACCCCACAACTTCTCCTGCTTTTCTAAGCCCACATCTTTGCAGATTGACCTTGTCTCTCTGTCTGCACAGACACATCTATCCCCTGTGGACAGAGCCTCCAGCATGTGCTGCCCTGGCAATGGCACCCAGAGAATCCCAGAATCAGCCGGCTTGGAAAAGACCTCCCAGATCATCAAGTGCACCCCTTGATCCAACCCCACCATGGTTCCCAGACCGTGGCACGGATGCCCAGGGGAGGGGCTTTGGGGATGAGGGCTCTCCCAGTACAGCCCAGTGACCCCTCAGTGCCCTCCCAGTACAGCCCAGTGCTCACAGTACAGCCCACTGTGTTCCTGTCCCAAGGTGCCAGGTGATCCCTCTTTGGGGGGTTTGATTGGGATTTGGGGCATTTTGGGGGCCTCTGGGTGCATTTGGGGGAGTTAAAAGGGGTCTTGGGAGCACTTGGGGGGGAAAATGGTTGTTTGGAGGGAGGGGATTAAAGGAAAAATGGGGGTTAGGGGACATTTGGGGGGCCTTATTGGGGCCTCGGGGGGACAGCACCATGAGCAGGTGAGTCCTGAGACCCCCGTGGTGTCCCCAAGACCCTCCTGGTGTCCTCAATTTCCTCCTTGGCACCCCGAGACCTCCCCTGGTGCCTCCAATGTCCCCAGGGCCTCCCCATGGCCCCAGTTACCCCCTTGACACCCTTTTCCTTCTCCTTTTTCTTTACATCCTCCTCAAATCCCCCCAGATCCTCCTCAAATCCATAAATCCTCTTCCTAACCCCAAACCGCCAAGATTGAGGAAAAAAAAAAAACAAACCACCAAGATTCAGGCAAGAAAAATCCCAAACCACCAAGACTGAGGAAAAAAAAAAACACGAAAAACCACCAAGATTCAGGCAAAAACCACCTCAAACCGCCAAGATTGAAGAAAAAAACACCCCAAACCACCAAGATTCAGGCCAAAAAGACCCCAAACCACCAAGATTCAGGCAAAAAACACCCCAAACCGCCAAGATTGAGGAAAAAAAAAAACAAACCACCAAGATTCAGGCAAGAAAAACCCAAATCACCAGAATGGAGGAAAAAAAACACCGAAAACCACCAAGATTCAGGCAAAAAACACCCCAAACCACCAAGATTGAGGAAAAAAAACACCCCAAACCACCGAGACTCAGGCAAAACCCCCCCCCCAAAAAAAATCCCACCAAAATCCCCGAAATCCCCCAAAGTGATTCCAAATGACCCTCAAATCCCCTAAATCTCCCAAAAATCCACCCTCAAAATTCCCCCAAAGTGACCCCAAAAAGAGAGGAGAGATCCCAAAAAATCAAGGTGAAATTCCCCCAAAAACTCCAAGACAGCCCAAAAATTGGGGAGAGATCCCAAAAATTGGGGAGAAATCGAAAAGATTGGGAAAAAATCCCCCAAAAACCCAAAAACATTGGGATTTCTATTTATTTCTTTATTATTTATAGTTATTTACTTTTCTTCTTCTTCTTCTTCTTCTTCGTCTTCTTCATCTTCTTCTTCTTTTTCTTCTTCTTCTTTGTCTTCTTCTTCTTCGTCTTCTTCTTCTTTTTCTTCTTCTTCTTCTTCTTCTTCGTCTTCTTCTTCGTTCTCTTCTTCTTTGTCTTCTTCTTCGTCGTCTTCTTCTTCTTCATCTTCTTCTTCTTCGTCTTCATCTTCAGCTTCTTCTGCTTCTTCTTCTTCTTCTTCTTTTTCTTCTTCTTCTTCTTCTTCTTCTTCTTCTTCTTCTTCTTCTTCTTCTTCTTCTTCTTCTTCTTCGTCTTCTTCTTCTTCTTCTTCTTCTTCTTCTTCTTCTTCTTCTTCTTTTCATCTTCTTCTTCTTCGTCTTCTTCTTCTTCTTTGTTTTGTTCTTCTTCTTGTTCTTGTTCTTCTTCTTTGTTTTGTTCTTCTTTGTTTTTCTTCTTCTTCTTCTTCGTCTTCTTCTTCTTCTTCTTCTTCTTCGTCTTCTTCTTCTTCGTCTTCTTCTTCTTCATCTTCTTCGTTCTTCTTCTTCTTCTTTGTCTTCTTCTTCGTCGTCTTCTTCTTCTTCATCTTCTTCTTCTTCTTCTTCTTCTTCTTCTTCTTCTTTTTCGTCTTCTTCTTCTTCGTCTTCTTCTTCTTCGTCGTCTTCTTCTTCTTCTCCGTCTTCTTCTTCGTCTTCTTCTTTATCTTCTTCTTCATCATCTTCTTCTTCTTTATCTTTATCTTCTTCTTCTTCTTCATCTTCTTCTTCTTCTTCATCTTCTTCTTCGTCTTGTTCTTCTTCTTCTTCTTCGTCTTCTTCTTCATCTTCTTCTTCTTTATCTTCTTCTTCATCTTCTTCTTCTTTATCTTTATCTTCTTCGTCTTCTTCTTCATATTCTTCTTCTTTATCTTTATCTTCTTCGTCTTCTTCTTCGTCTTCTTCTTCTTCTTCTTCTTCTTCTTCTTCGTCTTCATCTTCTTCTTCTTCGTCTTCTTCTTCTCCTTCTTCGTCTTCGCCTTCTTCTTCTTCTTCTTTTTCTTCTTCTTCTTCTTCTTCTTTTCTTCTTCTTCGTCTTCTTCTTCTTCTTCTTCTTCTTCTTCTTCTTCTTCGTCTTCTTCTTCTTCTTCTTCTTCTTCTTCTTCTTCTTCTTCTTCTTCTTCTTCTTCTTCTTCGTCTTCTTCTTCTTCTTCTTCTTCTTCTTCGTCTTCTTCTTCTTCTGTCTTCTTCTTCTTC